GAAAAAGGCAGAAGCAGAGTGTAGAAAGCTGAAAACCTAAACTCAGTAATAGGAAAAATAAATGGAAAAATGAATGACATAGGAAAGAGATTTCTATCTACTGCAAATGTCATAGTTGACTATAGAGAACATCCTATTTGAAAACTTGATTGAAAATATTCTTTGATATGGTTTACATATATGGTTTGGTTTTGTGCTATTTTTCTGGAATCCACAGAAGCAAAATATATGATTAGTAAAGAAAATATGGAGGATTAGAATTCTGCATACCAACATATGACAGAACTGAGCATACATTAGTGCCACCTGTGGTCAACAAAAACAAAATTCTACTCTCGCTGAATGAGTTGGATATGGAGAATACAAATGTAAATGGAATTTAAAGACTGGTGGATAGTTTTTGGTAGACGGTCATTAGTTTATAAATCCTTACCTAATGTGAGAAACTGCAAACATTTTGGCTCCCAGTGTAATTAGAATACTCCTTTCTCCTTAATAGACTGGTCGGATGTACTGAATAGGTAATTTTAATTTTCAGACTATCACAATATAACAAAAATGCTAATAAAAATAACCCAGTGCTTAATGATTCAAAAGATACTCCCATCTTAGATGTTTCAAGTTCATTATCAGTGATATCAGTTAATATTATACTGGAAAACCGCAGAAGAATTAACCCATAGAGGGTTAATTGAGAAGATATCAGTTAAAAACCTTTTTATTACAAAATGTGTTAGTTGGCATGTTGAAGGTATAAAGCAACTTCAAGAATTAAATCATATACATCCCTGCCATGAACACTGAAATCACTGCAAGCTCCAATATACAATATAATACATACATGCTCCAAATGATTAAAAGCAACTTGGTCTCCTCATCTTGGTGCTAGACTTCTTATTGATAAGGAGTGCTCCTTATTTATCCTTATAACCCTAGTGCATGACACTGAACTTCAAATGTAAGTTCTTAATTAGTCTGTTGTCTAAACTAACAAAAATCAAAGAAACAAAGTATGTGCTCTTGAAAATGATATTGTCCTATCAAATGGAAATTGTTGACTAGGTCATACAGTAATACAAAATGTCCTATAAATTTTTGTCCTCGGTGATATTATTAAAAAACAAAAGTCAGCATGGAACAAGGCTGATGTTACTTTTTATGCAGCTGACAGGTAGTATATTGAGAATCTAAACCACAAAATACTGATTAACCCTGTGTCTAGTCTGGGACTCAAGGTAAGTAAAACCTTTGGGTTTGCATTCTATATATGAGTGCTACTGTGCTACTGGCAAAACCTCCATCTGGGAAGCCTGTGGTAAAATACTCAATCAAAAAACATAATGAAATCTAAAGGTATCTATGAGTTTTCTATTCCTAATGCCTCTACAGTTTTACTTTAAATTCATATGCTTTGATGTTTCCCAGGAAATCCAATTAAAACATAAAGAGAAAAATAAAATTGAAATGTTTTCAAAGAAACATTTGTTCTTAAAACATGCAAACTCCATAGAATAACGTAGGTATATGTAAAGTATCATTAGAGAAGGGCAAAGGTTCTCAGAATTTATTGAACATGGGTGGGAAGGGGCTTTTCATTAATTTTGCAGCAGTATAGTGGGTTTCAAATTCAGGTCTAAATATATTTTAATAATTAGTAATTTAGCAAAAACTGAGGAAGGCAAATGAAAGGATAACTACTATTATGATTGCAGAAAAATGTGGGAGTCTAATTTTGAACAATATACATTTTGGAGCCATTCATTCATGTTAATAATAATTACAATTATGACAACAATTGTAAGAATTTTATAGCTTGGAAAACTAACTGCTCTACAGTGCTGAAAAATCCATCTCATTTAATTTTTTTAAAAAAATTTGTGAGTACAGAGTAGATATATATATTTATGAGGTACATGAGATATTTGGATACAGGCATACAATGCATAACAATTTCATTAGGGTAAATGGGGTATCGATCCCCTCAGGCATTTGTTTTCTTTGTGTTACAAACAATCCAGTTGTTTAATTATTTTTAAATGTACAATAAATTATCATTTAATGTAATCACCCTGTTGTGCTATCAAAGCCTAGATCTTATTCATTCTATCCAATGATAGTTTTATATCCATTAACCATCCCTTTTCCACCCAGCCTCTGGTAACCATCATTCTACTCTCTATGTCCATGAATTCAGTTGTTTTAATTTTTAGCTCCCACAATAAGTGAGAACATACAAACTTTGTTTTTCTATGCGTGATTATTTCATGTAATAATCTCCAGTTCCACCCATGTTGTTGCAAATGACAGGATCTTATTCTTTTTGATGGCTGAATAGTACTTCATTGTGTATCTGCACCACATTATCTTTATCTGTTCTTCTGCTGATGGACACTTAGGTTGCTTCCAGGTTTTGACTATTGTGAATAATGGTGGCTACAGTAAACACGGGAGAGCAGTTATCTCCTCTGTATACTGAGTTTCTTCCTTTTGGATATACACCCAGCAGTAGGATTTCTGGATGATATAGTAGGTCCAGTTTTACTTTGTTGAGGATTCTCCAAACTGTAATCCACATTGGTTATGCTAATTTATATTCCCACCGACAGTATACAAGGGTTCCCTTTTCTCTACGTTCTCACCAGCATTTGTTATTGCCTGTCTTGAATAAAATCCCTTTTAGGTAAGGTAAGATAATAACTCATGGTAGTTTTGATTTGCACTTATCTGATTATCAATGATGTTGATCATCTTTTTATATACTTGTTTGCCATTCGTATGTCTGCTTTTCAGAAATGTCTATTCAGCTCTTCTGCTCATTTTAAAATGAATTATTAGATATTTTCTTGTTGAGTTGTTTGAGTTCCTTATGTATTCTGGTTATTAATCCCTTGTCAGAAGAAAGGTTTGAAAACTTTCCCCCATTCTGTGAATTGTCTCTCCACTTTGTTGATTGTATTCTTTGCTCTGCAGAAGATTTTTAACTTGATGTGATCTCTTTTGTCCATTTTTGTTTTGATTGTTCTATGCTTGTGGGGTATTACTCAAGAAGTCTTTGCCCCCAGACCAACGTCCTGGAGAGTTTCCCCAATGTTGTTTTTAGTAGTTTCACAGTTTGACATCTTAGATGTAAATCTTTAATCCATTTTGATTTGATTTTTTATATGGTGAGAGATAGGGGTCTAGTTTCACTCTTCTGCATATGGATATCCAGTTTTCCTAGCACTATTTATTGAAGGGACTGTTATTCCCTCAATGTACATTCTTGACACCTTTGTTGACAATGATTTCACTGTAGATGTATGGATTTGTTTCTGGGTTCTCCATTCTGTTCCATTGGTCTAGGTGTCTGTTTTTATGGCACTACCAAACTGTTTTGGTTAATTGGCTTCGTAGTATAATTTGAAGTTAGGTAATGTGATTCCGCAGGTTCCGTTCTTTTTGCTCAGGATACCTTTGTCTATTCTGCATCTTTTGTGGTTCCATATAAATTTTAGAATTGCTTTTTTCTATTTCTGTGAAGAATGTCATTGATATTTTGATAAGGACTATATTGACGTTGTAGATTGCTTTTGGATGTTTTAACAATACTGATACTTCTAATCCATGAACATGGAATAACTCATTTTTTGGGTATCCTCTTCAAATTATTTTATCATTGCTTTATAGTTTTTATTGTAGAGATCTTTCACTACTTTAGTTAATTCCTGGATATTTAATTTTATTTGTAGCTATCGTAAATGGGATTATTTTCATTATCCCTTTTTCAGATTGTTTGCTATTGGCATGCAGAAATGCTACTGATTTTTATATGTTGATTTTGTATTCTACAATTTTACTGAATTTGTTTATATGCTCTAATCATTTTTGGTGGAGTCTTTAGGTTTTTCCAAATGTAAGATCCTATCATCATCTGCAAATAAGGACAATTTGACTTCTTCCTTTCCAATGTAGATTCAATTTGTTTCTCCCTCTTATCTAATTGCTCTAACTAGGACTACCAAAATATATCTCATTTGATTCTCTGAATGTACTCATGTAGTAAGCTAATAAAACCTTACACTTAATATTTTACACAAGTTGGAAAGAGAGGTGTAGAGGTTGCAGAGCTAGAGCCACGCAATGAAAGATCAATTTGTTAACAATTGCCTGGAAAAATCCTTCTAGACCTCTATATTCTCAAGGTAGAAAGGCAAAATATTAATATTGCATCTTCACTTATAAGAAGGAGAAAACATTTTTTTAGTTGGTTTTTATCTCTATATTGAAAAGCCTCTGGATCCACTGCTTTTTCCCCACAACTTTTTTATAGATCTTTGTGTTTTCTTTCTTCTTCTTCCTTCTACCAGGTTTTCATTCCTTCCTTATTAATTAAAAAATATTCTTGAGTACCTAGTATGGACTAGGTGCAAGTCTAGAAGTCAACGTAATATTATTGGAGTTTCTATTTTAATAAAATTATAGTTCACATTAAAAATTTATATTTTCTTTGCCCTCTGCATCAACCCCAAACATATTATATTTTTATACCAAATATGAAAACATATTATATTTATACTTTTATATAAAATATGCTTTAAATGCTAGTTTTAACTTTGTGTATCCATGTATTTCAGCATGCTTACACATGGAAATTAATAACAATATTTTGGGCATTACTTTTCTTCAATTAGCTAAAAATAATGTTTTCCAATAAGAAAATAAAATATGTAACATTTTCTCTACAATTTTCATTAGCAATAATGTTATTATTAACAATATTTAGTATTAACAATTACATCTATTGTATCTTATTATTAACAAAAATAAAGATATACAAATTATACCTTTAAAAATATACATCACCTGTGTTTGATGGCTCAGGTCTGTATCCTTAGCCTTTGGGAGGGTAACACGGAGAATCACTTGAGGCCAAGAATTCACAATCAACCTGAGCAACATAGCAAAATTCCGTCTTTACATGAAAAATAATTTAAAGATTAGCGGGGTGAGGTGGCTCTCACCTGTAGTCCTAGTCACTCAGGAAGCTGCGGCCAGAGGATTGCTGAGGCCTAGGAGTTTGAGGTTATAGTGAGCAACTATTGCTCCTCTGCACTCCAGCCTGGGTGACAGAGTGAGACTCTGTCTCTAAAAAAAAAATAATAAGAAGAAATTAAAATGGATGTCATACATTCAACAAGAAAACATAGGAAATGAAGAGATATAATAAATCATTCTAGAAGGAGAAAAGTGTGTTCTATGAAACTCTACTCTGTCTCGCTCTGTGTATCTCTGTCTCTCTCTGTATGCCTGCATGTGTTTGCATTACAGATTGAGATGTGTGCATGAATTTGTATTTATACATACACACATACATATATACATGTGTATACATATATATACTACATATACCTATACAATATATAATATATATCGTCTGCATTATACACACACAAATATATACATATTCTATATAGAACATTAAATGACTAGAGGACTTTCTATTTCTATATCAGCACAGCTAACTCAACTATCCAGAGGCTGGATATTTTATTTTGGGGTTCGTTTTTTTCTCATCCTTTTTCTTATTATTGTCGGGCTTTGTGTTTCTCCTCCAATCAGTAACATTTGCACAGAGCAAAGAAAGAGAAAGAAAAAGGTGACTTTAAGATACATCTATTTTTCTACTTCTGACTAAAGTTTTACGAGCAGAAAAGTTGAAAAGTGGAGCCCAGCGTTGAGGTTTTATCTGTGGTTGGCTTTTATCTGTGGTTGGCCTTTATCTAATCTCTAGTAGTTCCTCCCTTCTATGGATTATAAAAAGGAAGCCTCTAAGCAGAGTTTTGGGTACTGCTCATCTTACCACTTCATTCATTGGTCTAAAACTTCAGCTTCAGGAACTTGGAAGTACGTTTTAAGATTATCCAATAATAGCTCAAGATATAGGACCACTTTTTTGTTTATCAGATTAAAGAAGTTAGAAGAAACATATCTGGCCCTCAGTGGTGGGTTATATGTAAAGTGGGTGGTGGTGATTATCTAAATTCATTGCTATGAAACTCCTGAAGACATAATCTTTTCCTAGGGAATAACAAGTTTAAAATTTTTATAAACATCACTACCCTATTGTGAGAGATTTGGTTACAAGATTTTTTTTTCTTTTTTAGAATTTTAACTCTTCAGAGAGTAATTAGGTCTTTAGTAATGTGTTTTTGTATGCAGGAACTCACAATCCTATGACTTTTCTAAATTTATCTCCATATTGACACTCAAAGAGGTTTTATGAAAGGTCCAGTAGTTACTACCAGAATACGAATCTCTCTAGCTGAAACTCTTTGAGTGGGCTTTATCATTTTCTAGAAAATAACAAGATATTAAATTGGATTTAATTAGATCAAGTAAGGTATTAAAAGAATTGTCACATGTACACATTATTTTTTATTTTTAAAAATTATTCATTTATTTATTTCTATTGATTTGTTTGAATCAGCATCCAAACAAGGTCTACACATGACCTCAGTCAGCCTATTTTTTACACTTCTTTTCATCTTTTGTTTTCTTGTAATTTATTTTTAGAGGCAAATGGGTGGTTTGCTGCTCAGGGTTTCCCACGGTCTAGATTCACTGATTACCTACATTTAAGAGGGAAAATATAGAACATATTTCTCTAACCTGTGTATTTACTGTCCACTAGTAATTAGAACTAGATGCTTGATTTAATTCAAGTTTATTTTATTTTATTTTATTTTATTTACCTTTTTGGCAGCACTCCTTCAGAGGAAAAGGTATACACTAATCTTGGGAGGCATTGAATGTCTGACTGTCTCTTATTTTACATTATCATCATTGATCATTATCATCATTGCTTGAATTGATTATTTCGTTATGAGTTTTTAAAATACAAATATTTTGTGATTTTTAATCAATAACATTTCTCAATGGTGTATGTAGTAGGACCGTGCATGAAGCATCTGCTAAATTTAATTATATAGGAAGAAAATTTAAATCATTTCATGCCACAAACTATTTGATCACTGGAATGCTGTGAAAAAGTATCTTTGGACTTGTACAGAAATAGGCCAGCTTAAATGATGTTTCAGTGAAAGACAACTCTGTAATATGGGTAGAAAGATCTTGACTTGCAGTTTTTATATGGAAAAATAATGCACAATCAGCATTTTTCTAGACTTTTCAAGTGCCCAAATTATATGAGGTTATTCATCTATCAAATCAGTAAATATTTAGAACTACTCTAAGCCAAATATTGAAGCTACAACAATGATCTGACAAAGATAGATAAATCCCCTGCCCTCATAAAGCTTATTTACATTTGATAGAAGAGAATGATACAATTTCATAATTTATGTAGTGACAAGCATAGTAAAGTATAATAAAATTGAGAAGAAAAAATGTTACTTTAGGTCAGGATGTGAGGGGAGAAGTCTCTGAGAAGATAATGTTTAACAACCAAACTAAATTATGTAAAAAAATAATAATATCTGGGGAAAAAGTGTAAGAGGTGAAATCAAATATAAAATCTCCAAAGCAGGAAGAAACTTGTCCTATCCTTGGACTTGTTTGGAACCTGAGAAAACGGATTGTTGATAATGTCATTTGAGATAGTAAAAATTGCAGGAACAACATGATTGAAAATCGGGGAGGGAGTCCTAGAGTTCAATTTGGGAAATGCTGAGTTTGAGATACCTCTTAGACACTCAAGTAGAAATGTCAAGTTGGTAACTGATATATTACCAATGCAGGAAGATATACAGTTAGGGCAAAGAAGAAGAGATTGAAGAACTGTTAGTCAAAAGATCACTGTCAAATTTCAGAGATGAGGAAGGAAGACAGAATGTCTGTATCTATAAAACTGATTGCATTTTCTAAGTTGGACCAAGTATAATACTGCCAAACATTCCTAATAAAAAGTGCACTTATTCTTATTTCTTTCCTTAAGTATCACTTGTTTCTGTATTTCCTTGTGCAGAACTCTACCCCCTGGTGGGGCACCCTGTTATATTTTGAATTATTTTCTTGTCAAATGATATTCTAGATTTCTCTGCTGTCAGCAGCTAATTTATGGCTGTGTCACTTAAAGTGTGTCCTGTGGAACAACAATTTCTTCCAGGAAATTAGAGGTTCTGTGGTTAAATTTGCTCAGAAACACTATTTATATTACCAGCATTTGGAGCATCCCAGCATCTAATAGAATATTAATAAAGGACATCTCAGAAGCCCATCGAATTTTGTCCACAAAATTATGTTTACAGAAAACACCTATTAACCTCCAATGGAACTGGTACCTAAAAAGCAGGAAATGTCATGGATGGATTGATGACTCTAACAGCCAAATGTCTCAATCACAAGTTCTATGAGCCGGTTCCTCTCATTCTGATGTTTTAATTGACTGATGCCCATTGATTTGAGGAGATATAAGAATATTGCTAACAGAAGAACTAAAATGCTGAGAGCATTTGCATCAGTCACATCTGCTCCATGAAGCCTTTTCTGAGTACTCTGTCCTCATTAGATTTTGTTGTTTCTAAACTCCCATAATATTCATAGCTCCCATAATACTCAAATATCAAATCGTTCACTATTCAATATTTAAGTGTACACAGGCTTGTATTTCTGGCTCATTGCGTCTATCCTCACAGCTAATTGTTCTTCACTTCTACATGCATGCTCCGAATGTCTCAGTCAAAACAAACTCTGAGTCCTCAAGCCTGCCTGGTGTTTTATGCTTTTGAAAAAGTTGTTTGGGATCTTCTATCCTCTTCCCATCTTGGCCAATTATTATTGGTCTTCAAAGTCTTGGTCAAATGTAACTTCTGCTGCAAAACTTCCCCTGTCCTTTAGGTTTTCATGATGTTTTGTATAAGTAGCTACACTGTCACACTTCACACACTATTCTTTGCTATTACTGTTAGCTTCTGAGACTATGTCTCACTAATTGCTAGGAAGGGCTGAAGTGTGTCTTATTCAATTGTGTATCTATTTTGAGAGACTTCCTGGGACACTTGATTCCCCAGGAAAAGTAGAGAGAGAGAAAAGGAAAGCACATTTTTTTAATACTTTTATCTGTAGATGACACTTAGGTTGTTTCTGTTTATTGGTTAATATGAGTAACACTGCAATATGCATGGAAGTGTGGGAATGTCTTCAAGATTCTATTTTTATTTCTTTTGGATATATGCCCACCAGTGGGATTGCTGGATCATATGGCAACATTTTTGTTTTTGAGAAACATCCATATTATTTTCCACAATGGCTGGACAAATTTACATTCCCACCAACTATATACAAGTGTTTTCCTTTTTCCACACCCTCCCCAACACTTGCTATTTCTTGTCTGTTTGATAATAGCCATTCTAAAAGGCATGAAGTGATCTCTCATTGTGGTTTTGATTTGCATTTCCCTGATTTGGATGCTCCCTGTTTGCAAAACCAAAAAACAAACACAAGGGGTGGCAGGATATTGACTTTATTTAACAAAAATAGCAGTGCTGCCACCTAGACAGAGCCAATTTATCAAGACAGGGGACTTGCAATAGAGAAACAGTAATTCACACAGAGCTGGCTGTGCAGGAGATTGGAGTTTTATTATGACTCAAATCAGTCTCCTGAGCATTCGGGGATCAGAGTTTTTAAGGCTGTTTTGGTGGTGGGGGGGCAGAGGGGAAGGCCAGTGAGTCCAGAGTGATGATTAGTTGGGTCAGAGATGAAATCTGGGAAGTTGAAGCTGTTCTCTTGGGCCGAGTCAGTTTCTGGATGGGCGTCACAAGATCGGATGAGCCAGTTGATCAATCTGTGTGGTGCCAGCTGAACCATCAAGTGTAGGGTCTGCAAAATAGCTCAAGCCCTGAGCTTAGGAGCAGTTTAAGGAGGATTAGGATCTTGTAGCCTCCAGCTGCATGACTCCTAAACCATAATTTCTAAGCTTTTGGCTAATTTGTTAGTCCTACAAAGGCAGTCCAGTCCCCAGGCAAGAAGGACGTTTGTTTTGGGAAAGGACTGCTATGGTCTTTCTTTTAAACTATAAACCAGGTTTCTTCCAAAGTTAGTCAGCCTATGCCCAGAAAGGAACAAGGACAGCTTAAAAGTTAAAAGCAAGATGGAGTTGGTTAAGTTAGACCTCTTTTA